ATGTGAACTTGACATGATTTACAATCACCTAGGAGACAAGTCATCAGACACATTTGTGAGGGATAATCTAGATCAGGATAGCCTCTGGACATGCCCGTGAAGGAGTATCTAGATCAGGATAGCCTCTGGGCATGCCTGTGAAGGAATATCTAGATTCAATTATCGTGGAAAGACTCCTAGCCCCCCTCACACAGTCTTGGATCCTGAACTGCACAAAAGGAGAAAGCAAGGCCAGCACCATCAAGTATTCATTGAACTTTTTTTCCTTGCTGTAGATGCAACAAAACCAGATGCTTCAAGCCCATGCCACTCTGACTTCCCTTCTGAAGTGGACTGTAACTCAACCTGTTTGCCAAAAACAAGACCTTCTTTCTTAAATCATCTGGGTCAGGTATTTTGCTACAGCAAAGAGACCATTACTGAGACAGCACATAAGGGCTTTGTCCCTCCACCATTTGTATGCTCAGCAGTATTTGTTACTCTCTTAGTGATAGCCATTCTCACTGAGATGAGTTGGAAGCTTAATGTTTTATTTTTCATTTCCTAAATAGCTAAAGACGTTGCCTATCTGTAACTTGATAACTGTCTATTTATCTACCCATGAATTTCAGGGGATTGAAGATGCCTGAACTCATAAGCCACAAAAAGATGGAATATACGCAAAGAGTCTGGATTATGTATACTATTGTGTTTTCTTTGAATTTTTTGACTGCAGAGAGACATTTGATTCTGGGGACTGCTAAGCTAAGCCAACATATATATTAAAGGTATTTTGAATTCAAAATATGGGTCTAAGGATATGTTGCTTTGGAAAAGAGGTTCTTCTTTTGTTTCCACAGAGGATGAGAACCTGTGGATTGCTTCCAGACTAGTATGGTTTGATGGACCAAGACTCCCCCCCTGAAAGGTTGCCTTGAACTGCCCTCAAAAAATTACTTCACCCAATAAACAGCAGGAAGCAGTTTGGGGAGTACTATGCCCAAATTTCCAAATATTGTTTATAAATGTTTCTTTATTTAAAGGGAGATATGCTATAGAGATTTGCATTGGCACGGATCTTGGTTTATTGATGCAAACTTAAGGTCAATCATGTTACATGTATATTTCTGCTCTTGATTAAAGTATTGTGGTTATGTAGTTCATTTAAAAATGTAAAAATAATTAAGAAATATAGGTTAATAGATAGTCATCTATAATAGTTAAGCTTGTAGTCATGTTAGATTTTCTAGATGGACAGATATGTGTTTCAGATGGATAGGCATTCTTCAAACCTTTCAAAGACTACAGAATATGGCATTTAAAATGTTTTAATAACTTAGGACTTTTCATGACAATGAGACTCATATGCTCCTGGCAGCACCAATCTACTTCAAGAGGAAGATGAGCATCGAAGAGGTACCTTATGGAGTTGGTTAGCCATTTGGGCAAGAAACTGCTCTTGCCTGAACTGCTAACTGGACATGCAGGACCCACAGAGAAATGACTGCTGCTGAACTTGCCTAAATGTGAGATGATCCTTCAGGTTCTGGCTTCATGAAAGAGTCTGCCAGACATTCTGCAGGATGCAAAAGAAAGTTACTGACAAACTGCCAATATAGGCGGACCTGTCTTTGAAATTTCCTGCTTCATTGAAAAGTCTGCTGGATACTATGGGCCTATAGGCTGAATGAAGATGGATGTCCCAATGGTACAGAAGAACTTTGGGTGACTGTTCAGGCAGCAAGATGTCTCTGTCATTTCTAAAACTTTGGAAGTTGCTTACAATGAACTTCCTGTTTACTTAGGTAATATTATATCCTTCTGGAGTCTTTGATGAAGTTGAAGAATAGTTATAGTTTTCCTTAGTTATGATAAAAGATAAAGTAGATATAAATATTTGAACTGTAATTCTTGCTTGATACCTGTTTTGTTATATGTAATTTGACTGTTAAAGTTAAAACCTTCCTCTTTTATTTGAACAGAAAAGGGGAGGTGATGTGGGATTCCCCTTTGTATGCTGTGAATTCAATTGGTTAATTAATAAAGAAAGCTGGTTTGGCCTGATAGGGCAAAAGAATAGAGGGAGGCAGGGAAAACTAGACTGAATGCTGGGAGAAAGGAGGTAGAGTCAGAGAGAAGCCATGGTAGCCCTATCAGAGACAGATGCCAACTTTAGCCAGTAAGCCGCAACCACGTGGCAATACACAGCTTAATAGAAATGGGTTAAATTAATATGTAAGAGTTAGCCAATAAGAAACTAGAGCTAATGGGTCAAGCAGTGATTTAATTAATACAGTTTCTGTGTGATTATTTCGGGGCCGAGCAGCTGGGAACCAGAAAATGGCTTCCTCCAACAGTGAGGGTGTCTACATGAACACCCTCACTTTATCAATTCCTTTGCTAGCTTTTTAATACTATGGTTCTACTGTCATAGTTTCTGAAGACATTTAGGTTTTGGGATCAGACAAATGTTTTTCTTTGTAGGAACTTGTGACCTGTCTTTGTTGTTCTGGAAATCTCACTGTACACTCAGTTCTTTACATTGTGCACTCAAGAATTCCTGACGCAACATACTCATAAATTTGGCTGTGCATATGGTAGGCTATTTGTTCTATAACAGAGGTTCTCAACCTGTAGGTTGCAAACCCTTTGGGGTCAAACTACCCTTTTACGGACGTGGGTCACATATCAGATATCCTGCATAGCATATATTTTCATTATAACTCACAACAGTATCAAAATTAGTTATGAAGTAGCAATGAAGTAATTCTATACTGTGGGGGGGGGGTCACCACAATATGAGCAACAGTATTAAAGGGTCGCAGCACTGGGATGACTGAAAATTATGGTTATGGAAACTCACATCCTCAATTCAGAGTTATTTTCATTTTTGACAGGGTTTCCTGTATCTCAGACAGACCTTGAATTCACTGATGGAGTGGAGGATGCCCTTGAACTTCCAATTCTTCTGTCTCATCTCCTGAGTGCTGGGGTTGCAAGTGTGCACCACCATTCCTGGTGCTGGGAGCGAAAGCTCAGGCTTGGTTCATACTCAAGGCAAGCGCTCTACCAACTGAGCTACATTCTCAGGTCTAGTTCTCTTTTTTAATTTTGTAGTTTGTTTTCTATACTCTTTCTAAAATCCCTTTCAAATTTGATTTCCTGTTTTTTAATTTTCTCTTTATTTATTTGCTTATTCTTGCAACAGGGTCTCACTATGTAGGTCTAGTTGGCCCAGAACTCTGTATGTAGTTCAAGCTTCAAACAGTTTCTGCCTCCTCCTGGTTAAAGATATGTACCACTGTGTTCGGCTTTTTTATTTTTAAAGGGTCTCACTATGTAGCTTTCCTTATAACTATGTAGACCAGGCTGGTCTCTAACTCAAGAGATCTACCTGCTTTTGTCTCCTGAGTGCTGGGATTAGACGCATGTATTAAAATACTATGCCTGGTAACTTATATTTTAATCTTCCTTTTTGCTCTAACTTGTTGCATTTTTATTTTATTTCTTCCACCTATGTCAGCACTTTCTTTATTGTGTTCTCCTCTCTGTCTATCTCTCCCTCTCACACACACTACCATCCTTAACCTTCTATTATTAAAGATACACAGACATTCTTCTTTCCCTACACAGACCCTCCAAGCTGACCCGTTTTGGCATTCGGTGTTCACCAGAAAGGTGCTCTTTGGTTCATGGCTCACAGGCACTGAAGCCCAGTGTGACCATTGGCACCTGGGAGGGGTTTCGTGCCTCCAGGTTTGTTCACTGGGTGATATGGCTGATCTGCTTTCTACAAACTTTAACGTCCCTGTCCCCATTGAAGGAAGATGGACTCTGTGGAGAAGCAAACTGTAAGTGTTCTTCCATGTGGTTATCTGTTTTCTTTGCTATCAGAGTCTGATGGGGAGACTCTTTCAGTCATCATTTTAGTATGGCTTTGGGGAGAAGACAAAGTAAACACATGGAATCCATTAAGCCTCCGGAAGTTCCTCACTCACACTCTGACCTACTGCAGCTTAGCTCCTAGCATGAAAGGGACTTTCCATGAAGCCCAGGTTGACTGGAAACTTGTGATGGTCTGCCTTCAGCCTCCCAGATGCTGGAATCACAGGTAGATGTGTGCCGCTAGCCTCACTGAACTCCTAGGTGATGCCAATGATGGTCATCTGAAAATTCCCCATGCCCTAATGACTAGACCCACTATGTTAACATGGGCCTGCCCATCAGTCAACTATTTTGCTGACATTATAAACCTAGCCTTTACCTTATCTGACATCTTTAAAATACAATCTAAACTGGGCAGTGGTGGCGAAGGCCTTTAATCCCAGCACTCGGGAGTCAGAGGCAGGAGGATCTCTGTGAGTTCAAGGCCAGCCTGGTCTACAAGAGCTAGCTCCAGGACAGGCTCCAAAGCTACAGAGAAACCCTGTCTCGAAAAAACAACAACAACAACAAACAAACAAAAGAAACAATCTAAATTATAACTAGAATGACCCAAGATCTGATGCCAAAAGACATCGGACACTGCTTGGCCTGACTTGAGGCTACCATGGTAAATTTTCTGGGTGATGTCACATGTTTTTACCCACCAGCCATCAGCATTAGAAAGCTGTTAAACGGCAAAATTCTCAAATACTAAAATGATATACATTGACAAGACACAGGCTTTTTTTGCTGGTGGTTTCTGTAAGAACTTACCCTCCATCATGAGCCCCTCCACACCCATCTCTCCCTATTGACTCCCTAGTCACTCCACAGTGACTGCTGACCTTTTCCTGCAAGTGCTTTGGCTCTCCAGCTGTGCCAACGGGAAACTGGGGACGCCTACTACTGTCCCCTTGTGCGTGTCTTCTGAACGTAATGCCACCTTCTTGTCTATCCCATGAACCCTAAATGACAAAGACCCAGCTTACTCATGTGTCATTCCTCAGCATGAAAACCATATGAACAGTGACAAGATACTGCAAGAGATAACGGGAAACAGACAGTAGGACAAAGCTTAGAAATGACAATACTGAAGCTAGACTTCACAGTGGCATGCCAGTGGGCAATGCCGATTTAATTGAAACCTTGTAATAAAAGTTTAAATACATAAAATGATTTTTTTTTTATCAAAAGGACTTTCCCCACTCCCTGACCTGATGCATATAGAGACAGGCAAGTGGGAACTGGCTATCTGTAAGGAACGGAGAAATGGCAGGTCCAACTCTAGTTGGTATCTTCTTCCTCAAAAATGCTCTGTGATTGAACTCGGAGTCTCCCATGAGCAGGAATGCAGTCCAGCATGGCTCCTTCAGTACATGGAGTCAGCCTCAGAAGACAAGGAAGAGCAGGGCCTCATGCCTGGGCAGTACTATGTCTTCCACAGTGCGTTCCATGGCGCGCACCTGCTCCGGGGAGGCAGTCAGGAACGCCAAAGGCCCGATCCGCTGCTCCGCACACGAGTGGCAGAGGTAGCCACCCTTGTTTTCCTTCCTGTTGCTCTACAGGGACGGATAAGGAAAAAAGGTAAGGTGACCATCTAAGGACAAGAATTTTCCACCAAAAAGTACTGAATCACTGTCTCGGCTGCCAACATTCTGAAGCACTATGGCTGTGATGTCCTTACTCCTGTGGACACCCAGAGATAATCCCAACACAGCACTAACATCTAGATTCAACTCTATCGAAGTCCGTTAGGGGATTAGCCACAAATATCCAGTCAAGAGATGGAGACTAGGGACTGGAGCTACTGCTTGCTGAGTGCTGAAATGCTGGATTAGCATGTTCAACCCAGTTGGTTCAATCTCTAGCACCAAAGAATTAAGAAAGTGACAAAGAACCAAAAAAAAACTCAACCAGGCCCTCCAGGTAAATAGCTCTCCCCTGAAGTGTCTGGCCACCGCTGTAGCTCCCAGACGGCCTAGCACACCCAGGCAGTGTCATTCAACCTGATTATCCCATCTCTGACATGAAGGCAGACCTCACATCTGCCGTGCATCCGTATCAAAGCTCTTAGAAAAGCATTAAATAGACTTCTCCATTACCCCCCTCACCCAGAACCTAGACAGGTACAAAGCTCACAGGTAATTAAATGGGTATGAATGAATTAACCCAACAGCCAGTGAACGCACATAGGTGATGGGCAGTTTCTTCATGGTAAGGATGGTGTCCACGGGGATGGTGTTGTTGCACTGCCCCACACAGCAGTGGACCACTCCTGTTTTCAAGACGTTACTTGTCAGCTCTGCTTGTAAGAAATACTCCTGCGAAGGAGAAAGGCAGAGGAGATGCATGGCAATACTGCTACCTTCTACTTGAAACCTCCAACAGCCAAGGACCTGCTTCACCCTTCAGACATAGCCAGAAGCAGAGGGCTTTCTCATTTTCTAATATTCCTAACTCCAGTGCTATTGACAAGAAAGAACACTCTAGCCAGTCCAATTGGTTCTTTTGGTAAAATTGTTACATTTTAAAAAAATAGATTGATAAACATGAATGTATCATTTAAATGATGTTTCAGGACTCTTTCTGGATTCATAGTCCCTATCCCCAACTGTAACATTAATAATTATTATTGTTGTTAGCATCATCATCATCATCATCATCATTTTGACAAAGTCTTGCTAAACAGTCCAGAGTGGGCCTAAACTCTCAATCTTCCTGCCTCTCCCTTCCAAGGACTGAAACTGCAGGCACACTTATGCTTGTTGAGCCAGAGAATTACTGCATAAATTACAATCCAGGTGAGCTGAGACTCAGAACTGTAAGAAGCAGCTTCCCCAGAGGACACGGCTCAGTGACAGCAGTTTCCTACTGAGTGCAAGGCCTGGTTCAACTCACAGCACCACAGTCAAGCCAACCCACACAGCCCTGCGCTGCTGACTCCCAGCTGTCACTGCCCAGCAGGGAAGGCTCTTGCAGCTTTTTGTTGTTTTTATATTTTTTAGTTTTTCAAGACAAGGTTTCTCTGTGTGGCCATGGCTGTCCTGGAACTCTCTCTGTAGACCAGGTTGGACTCGAACTCATGGAGATCTACCTGCCTCTGCCTCCCGAGTAGTGGGCCATGAGGCCTGGCTTCTTGTAGCTTTTTTTATCTGCATCTATTTCACATTACCTTATAAAGTAAACACCACAGCACACTCTGGTATTAGTGCCTGGCACACATTACCAAATAGAACATTAAAGACCACTGGGTCAGGGCCCTTCACCTCGGCTCCCGAGGATTCTAAACAATATGGACACTAGCAGGGTGCACATATTTGCTGACTACTAAAGCATGACTTCATATTTGCTGGACAACAACTAGCTACTTACTGAATTCTTCACTATCTATGTGGCCCCTGTTTTGATTCATTTGGTTCACTCCCTTGCAGGACTTGCCCACAAGTTACAGAAAATAGAAGATACATACATAAGCGCTATGACAGTCTTGACTGTCAGGTAGACAGGATAGAGAATCTCCTAGGCATTGGTGAAGTGTGCCTTGTGGTGTGTCTGTGGGGGTTATTCTAGAGACAATCAGACCCTGAGGGGTCTGAGCAAATACATGGATCCATACAGTGGCACTATTGGAGTGGTGAAAAGTAGGAGGTGGAGCAGCTGGAGCAACAGGTCACATCTGGGGCTTGCCCTTGCCCTGAGCTCTCCCTAGATAACTTCCTCTGCTACCTCACTACCACACCACACCTTCCCCACTGTGAGCCCTCTAAAACTGTAAGCCAAAACATAACTACCTTTCTTTAATCAGTGCGTGTAAAGTATTTCATTAGAGCAACAACGAAACTGACACAGACACTCTGGTTCCAACTGAGCACTAGGAACTAACAGCATAAAGCCCTTCCTGAAGTTACAGATTTTTTTTAAAATATTTATTTATTATGTATACAATATTCTGCCTGTGTGTATGCCTGCAGGCCAGAAGAGGGCACCAGACCTCATTGCGGATGGTTGTGAGCCACCATGTGGTTGCTGGGAATTGAACTCAGGACCTTTGGAAGAGCAGACAATGCTTTTAACCACTGAGCCATCTCTCCAGCCCAAGTTACAGATTTTTACATCCCTGCCACTGTCACCCCCAAGCTCCTTCCCAGAGCAGCAGCACGAATTCAGCACATCCTTCCGACCCATAACAAAGTAGCTTCAAGTCTGCACATGTCCAAATACAAAAAATGTATTTGCTTACATTTCTGGTTCTCTTCTAAGCTATTCATTCCTCCCAGGCCCAAGCTCTCTTAGCCACTGAGCCTTCTCTCCAGCCCTGTAACTCCAACACTGAGGGATCCAATGCCCTCTTCAGACCTCTGCACATGCATGGGCACCTGCAGCTCCACACACACGCACATAGACTAATTCACACAAATAAAAACAAATCTTTTTTTGTTTGTTTGTTTTGTTGTTGAGACAGAGTTTCTCCATATATCAGCCCGAGCTATCCTGGAGCTTGTTCTTGTAGACCAGGCTGGCCTCGAACCCCTGCCTCCTGAGTGCTGGGATTAAAGGTGTGTGCCACCACTGTCCAGTCAAAAAGTACTTATAGCCAAGGTTTATTTAAAGAATTGTTTAACAAGGACTATGTGCAGATGAAATTGCCACTCTGCTTACCTCTATGGGTTTAGAGATCTAAACTGGAATCAGTAAAGTTTAAGTGGGCCAAATCCAGACCCAGGCCTGACTTGTCAATCAAGATCACTAGAACACAGACACACTCATATATGAAGTGGCTTACCCAGGGCTGCTCTTCTGGCACAAAGCAGGCCTAAGTTACTTCTCAGAGAACATGTGACCAGCAAAGCATAAAATATTTACTATTTGATACTTAATAGAGAAAGTACTTCTTGGGTGGCCCAGGTGTCTTTGGAGATGTGAATTAAGAAAAAGTGTGGGTTCTAAGTTCTGATTAGGGGCTGTCACATGCAATGAGAGGCAGGTCAAGGGCAGCTTTAGGAAATGCGTAGCTATAGGAGCCCACATGTGACTTAGTTTCCATCTGGAATCAATCCCGACTTAAAACTCAGTTGAGTTAAAGCTTACCTGCTCTGCTTGCTCCAGTATCCTTGAGGTATGTGAAAAAGTTTTAATTAAGCCCAAGAAAAAGAATATTTTGCCCATAAAAAAAACTCATTATCTATTAAGATGCAGGCTAGTAATGCCAACCTTAGGCACAGAGAGATAAAAATTAAAACTGCTTACGAGTAGCAAGCACATAATAGACAGAAAACTGCTTACTCAAGGACAGAAGCAGTCTTGTGGTTAGACACTAACTGACTACGCTGTGCTTTGTTCTGCTTTTATAGATAAGCAGGCTCTAAACTAAACGCAGGGCTGGCGAGTATTCACCAACAGACCTCCCAGATCTATTCTGTGTCTCAGTTTCAGGCTCCAACATGCAGCTGATTTCAAACTCCACAGGCAGATTACCTCAGAGGCTTAAAGGAAAATGCTAATGGGGAATAGAAGGTAAAAGTCTAAATAAAATGCAAGGTAACTGGTCCTGTGCCAGAGGGCTTCTGCATGCCTGTTCTGCTGCTACTTAAGACAGGGTCTCACTATGCTCTCCAGGCTGGTGCCAAGCATTCTCCTACTTTAGTTTTCTGAGGAGAGGAACTGCGGACAAACATCACTGCATCCAGCATAAAACTTTGTTGTGATGTCATAGAAAAGATTTACTTGCAAAGGCTCTCCTTTTAAGATCTGATATTATCTTTCCCCCAAAACATGAAGAATTCCTTTTCTAGTATTGTCTACCTCTTAATCTAGATGCAGCGTATGCGGACAGGGATTTACCTTATGCACTGTAATTCTAGTACTGAGAAGATGACTGACACATACGAGACACAGACACTATGCAACAATGAGTAAAGGTCTTTCTCCCACTACTTAAGAACTCTAGGACACTGAACGTCCCTCACTAGAATCTAGTAACTGTCTCATCTAGTTTGAGCCTTTGCGGAATCAGACAACTATGTTGTCTCCTTAAGAAAAGACACAGAACAGGTACAGGTAAATGGCCTTTCTGTACAGTCTTATACTGTGGGATAGGTAAGTGTCCCAGTTAGTCTTATGCTAATTTGATACAATCTAGAGTCATTTTAAAAGACAGAACCTCAATTGAGAACATGCCTATACTGGGTGGGATTTAGGTGCATTTTCTTCATTGATAATTGATGTGCAAAGGCACTGTTCATTGTGGGTGACGCCACCCCTGGGCAGAGTTCTGGGTGCTATAAGCAGAGTCGGGAAGCCATGTGGAGGAAGCCAGCAAGCAGCACTCCTCCATGGCCTCGCACCAGCTCCTGCTTCCATGCTCCTATCCTGACTTCCCTCAGTGATGGACTGTAATGTGGAAGTAGGGGCTAAAATAAACCTGTTCCACCCCAAATTGATTTTGGTCATGGTGTTTCATCACAGCAACAGAAAATCTACTAAGACTAAAAAAAAAAAAAAAAAAAGCACTTCCATCAGTTTTTACACCTACGGTTTAGATTTTGGGCTTAAGCCTCCTTGGTTGCTTCAGGGAAAGAAGCACATCAGTGGCTGTTAATGCAAACTCAAGGCTGGGAAGACTAAACTGTTTATAGCTATGCCTGTGAAAAAGCAGGACAGAGAAAGTGATGAGGCACGGATGGAGAGCAAGTTGTTTGTGGAGGGTGAAGGTGAGAGCTGCAATAAAAGACTAAATATAAGTGAGCTCACTTTCTTGCATCTCCTCAGAAGAATTGGCCCAGATACCTAGAGACTCATGTGCCCTGGGGATTCTTCTGGAAAATCTACTGCTAGAAGCAGGTGCCACTTCAAACAGAGCAGGGCGGGGGATGGAGGGGATTGTAGTTACAAAACACAAATTTGCCAATTTTCCCCCCAGGAAAGGGAAATTGGCTGAGCAAATGCAGAATCAAGAAGTATATGAAAAGCATTGACATTTTAAACAGACCTGTGCAGTCTGGCATGAATACACTCGCTCATTTCATTGGTTAGAATACTACTGCTCTAGTGACCTTTGCCTCTGTGCACTTACGAGGTCACCCAGCACCCTCATCTTAAGGCTCAGGTTGATCCTGCAAACAGTAGGAAAGTAACTCCTAAATTACCCATTTCTCTTACCCCAGCCAGAGTCAGGATGTTCTCCAGTGATTTGGTCATTATGAGCCGCTTCTTGGCACGAGTAACAGCAACATACAGCAAATTCCATTCATCCTCAGAAAATGACTCTTAAAAAAGGAGAACAAACAATTCAAAAGCCTACCTACAAAAACTCATTTTCTCATCTAAATGCTTGGAACTTCTCACTAATGCCTTACAAGCCTCTCAACATTTGCTAGCTATATATACAAAATTTTCCTACAAATGTCAATTGAAACAAACAAAAACCTCAATAACTAATTACACAAAATTTATTTTTAGTCTTGTTACACAGTAAATCTTAGCTATGTTAACTAACTCTTCAACATCTGCAACGAACCCAGCAGATACTAATGTGTACAATGGACTCAGTATATACTACTGTGTGCACCCAGCAGATACTAATATGTGCAATGGACCCAGCAGATACTAATATGTGCAATAGACCCTCGGGATACTAATATGTGCAATGGACCCAGCAGATACTATCTGCAATGGACCCACAGGATACTAATATGTGCAATGGACCCACAGGATACTAATATGTGCATGAACCCAGGGAATACTAATATGTGCAATGGACCCACGGGATACTAATATGTGCAATGGACCCAGCAGATACTAATGTGTACAATGGATAATGGACCCAGCAGATACTAATGTGTACAATGGACTCAGTGGATACTAATGTATACAATGGACCCAGCAGATACTAATGTGTACAATGGACTCAGTGGATACTAATATGTGTAATGGACCCAGCAGATATTAATGTGTACAATGAACTCAGTGGATACTAATGTGCTTTGTCCTCACTTTTTTTTTTTTTTGTCTATGAGGCAGACAGTAAGACTGTGGTGTACAGAGGATACCACATTCACGAATGAGCCTACCACTAATTAAGGGGCAGATATGAACCAAGGTCTGTGCTCCTCTCAGTTTCCTACAGTGTCTATCTGGATTAGTCCACTCTAATCTGGAACTGCCTCACATCATCACAAAGAAGATGACACACTTCTTCTCTTTTTTTCTGACTTTTTTAAAAATTGTTTTTATTAAGCTATACATTTTTCTCCACTCCCCTCCCCTTCTACCTTCTCCCATGATCCCCACATTCCCAATTTACTCAGGAGATCTTGTCTTTTTCTACTTCCCATGTAAATTAGATCCATGTATGACTCTCTTAGGGTCCTCTTTGTTGTCAAGGTTCTCTGAAACTGTGAATTGTAGGCTGGTTTTTCTTTGCTTTACGAAGATGACACATTTCTAAGTCCACCTCACATCTACCATCTCACAGGCTCAATGCCTAGCAAACTAGACCAGCCAGTCTATGAACATTCTGGCAGCCAGTGAGTTGTACCTACAATCTGAACGAATGGGCTATACAATGTATAAGTCATATCTTAATGAAACTGGTGTCCAAAAAAAGTATTAAATCGTAAAAGAACTTATTTGGTTTGGAAACTTCAAATGCTTTAATTCTGAGATTTTTTTTTCAGTCTCTCATGTGATTTTATTTTCTCCCTTCAACCACAACAATATGATGTCCATACTCTGTTCTAACTGGTGGGTCTGTAAACACAGGCTTAATCATCCCACTCACAGGCGACGCAAATGCTGCTTCTTGAAACAGTCCTACCATGGACCCTCTGTTCATTCACCCCAGGTCACCCCCTTGCCTGGCTTTATCTTTTCTGTATTGTGTGGTCATGTTTCTGAATCTCATTCCAGACTTTAACTTTCCATGGCTTCCACGATTCTGTCCTGTTTTTCATGTAGAATGTGTCTGACCTCTGACCTTCACTGCGCTGCCACCACCCTTAAGGCCTTGAGCCTCCTTATCAGTGCTGTCACTCCCAGAGGCTGCACCTCCTCTCCTCACCTTTCCAGAACCACTTTCCTTTCCCCTACAGAAGCGTCTCCTAAGCTTTTATTCTGAAATTTAAAGTCAAAGCAAAAGCAGTGCTGGGCAGACTTTAACCCTGAGCCTCGAGAACCCCTGGTAAAGCGGCAATGGACACAGGTGGGGATGGGATCCAGCACCGGAACATGCAGGACTCTCTTTTCAACTTCCAGCACTACAAATAATAACATGTTTCCCTTGCTGAGTAAGTACACTGATGTTTGGAAGTTGCATGAGGCTGGGACATATCATTTGTGTCTGATGATGCAAAGCCCAAAGCTGATGGGCAGTTGTGTTCACAGGGACATCATGATGCAATATCCTACCAGCCACCTGAGAAAGACCCCATGGAAGCCCGGCTTCCCTAAAACAACAGAATTAAAAATCAGAAGTGTAGACCTAGGTGTGACTCTTTGTTCTGGAACAGGAGGCTGTCCTATCCCATCCAAACCAAAGGAGTCCAGTCCAGCTACAGAACAGGAGCACCCCAAGAGCCCCTGTGTCCCAATCCAGTGTCCTTACCAACTCTGAAGTGAGGAAGCTGGGCAAGATTATGCCTGGCACAAGGAACTTTCACGAAATCATCCAAAACATGCACAGTGTCAAACTCTAAGCCTTTGGCCTTGTGCACAGTGCCCAGAATGTACTCTAGAACAGAAATGTAGCAAGTTAGATGGGGACCCCCACAGGGAATGAAACAAAGCATCCTCGCAGGTGTGCCCCTGCATAGGGAAAGGGTGCAGGTAGAAATAAGGGTGAGAAAGTAAAATAACCAGTCACAGGAATACCTCAAAGGAGCCCATTCAAGAGGCCAGAGAGACTCTGACCACATCCCACACTCACTTTAGGCATAGAGGGACAGGGGCCCAGAAGGCAGTTTTGCAGCTTGCCCAAAGTTACCCATGGCAGAGCGAGGTCTAGAAAATCCTATTCCACTGGATTGAAAGTGGAACAGAAATAAAAAGATCCTGTGGGGAAACAGCTGCTCTGCTTCTGTATTTCTTTAGTATTTAACATGGTGCTAGGATCCACACCAGGCCCTGTCCCTTTTCTTAATGAGCACAGTCACTGGTAGCCACAGACGCAGAGGTACTTTAAGAGACCATCCACTCCTCCTCTTGAAGGAAAGGCAACAGCTGCTTTCCTTACCTGCAAAGTCCAGATCTTCTATGTGGCATCTCTCTATCCTTTCAACTAGTTCCGGAATCCTGATATTGTATTTTTCAACTACTGCGATCTTCGCTTCCAGCTCCTTGTCCTCAGCAGCAGTCACGTACCTCTTGAAGCCACTAAAGCCTTCTTTGTGCACCCATCTTCTGATGAACCTGTCCTTAATGATGAGGTTGCCTAAGGAAGAGAGATACCCAGGTGAAAATGAGAGAGACTGTTCAACACAGCAGCAGCTGTATGTGTCTAACCAACAGCACAACAATGGATGGGCTTAGAGCTGGGAGACCAGGGCAGCAGTCCTGACTGGGTCACTAACTAACTCACTGTGTATCCCCGGGCAAGTCAGTACAGTGGCCTCGCAGTCTCCAACTTGAGCATTACAAGATGTTCAAGAACCTCATCTACTTCACAGAGATTTGAAATAGTATAATCAAGGAGAAAAAGTACCACAGAAACACTATAGGTTTTAATCTGTGGTCCAGAGAAGCAATGGTGTATAGCTGCCCATCCGGCAGAAGAATGCAGGAGAAGGTGGCTTACAGCACCAACGTTGACAATTACTGAGACTACTAAGAAGGATCTGGAAAAACTTGCCAGCAGTTGTGAAAACAGATCCCAGATATCCCCTGTCTAGGGAGAAGAGCCAACCTAGTTCCTCAGAAGAAGAACAAGAATCCTGGCTCCGGGCAGTGGTGGTACATGTCTTCAGTCCAGCATCTCTGAGAGTCTGAGACCAGCCTGTTCTACAGAGCGAGTTCCAGGACAGGCTCCAAAGCTACAGAGAAACCCTATCTCAAAAAAAAAAAAAAAAAAAATCAAAACAAAACCAAACAAAAAGAACCCTGACTCAGAACCAGCCCCGCTTCCCAATCCCGGCTGAGTGCTGGTTTCCACACTCTGAAGCCAGGCCTGTACTCACGTTTCCTCCGTTCTTCCTCTGGCTGAAGAAGGGTCCAAATGTCAATGATTCTGTCCAATCCAAATGATTTAATTCCCTGAAAAATTTTCAGTGGAATCTTTGTTTTGTTTTGCTTTTTTATCAAAACAAAACAAAACAAAACAAATCCAGAGATGGAATTTTGAAAGGAGATGGTTTCTTAGAAACAGATCACAAATATTGTTAAATCACACACACAGGAAACAAAAAGCACTGATCTATTGCCTCAAAATCTACCTACGCTTTAGAAAGGAAAGCCCCAACTGCACACTGCTTTGTCTTCAATAAGAAGACACGTTCAGTGTGCCTTCCATAAATACGCAATGGCGAAACACGGACATAAATGATAACTAAACACGGCTGGCAAGCAAGACGCTCACCATGGTTTCTATTGGTAAACAACTAGAGGGTAACTCCTTGTCCAGTTATTCTGTAATCTAGAACCAGCTCTTGGTGGAAAGGCCCTTACGGTGCCATGGGTGGGTTTGGCCCTTTTTTATTTTAGAAGTGCCTGACGGGTATTGTCTGTGACTCCAGCATTCGTATGGAACCAGGCCTAGCACAGGAGTCAGCCATGACAAGGACTCCACCTCTAACAAGTTCTCATCCTTTGGTGACAGTCACGACCATAACACTGACAGTGTACACTTCCACCAAGTGTATGATTTAGAACCATAACACATGTCACAGGCAGACGTGAACGTAGAAGAGGGAGAACAAGACACTTCATATCCAATGATATTCCAAAATTACTATCTTCTTTCAATAATGAAAATGGTTATAATTACTAGATGAAATATTAGAGACAACAATACAATGATCAGATAAACTGTTGATATGTTGAGTGAAAATAACAATACTTTTATGTATATCATTAACAGTAATTATGTAAAAATATGCATTTATAAGGACAAAGACAAAAATAATCAGCAAAAATGAGACTTCTAGGAAATACCAGAGTTATATGTGATTTTTCTCTTTTAATGCCAAAATTTCTATATAATATTTATTTTAAACAAAAGAAAGAAATATTTTATGATTTAATATTTTACTGACTGCCCAACATATAGTAGGCCCTTAAAAATATTTTCCATTAATGCCCTTTATTCATATATCTTCCAAGTTAAATATGCCACAAACACGTCATTTCATTTTCTCTGCCCAAGAAACAGGCAAACGGCACTGCTACATCTTTGGGTGGAGAATGAGGCACACAAGTGGTGACTTGCCCCCAGCCACACAAGTTAGTGACAGAGCCAGAGTGAGAGCTCTGTGTTCCGTTCTACCCGATGTCATCAGCTCAACTGTGCTTCTACTAATGTCAACATGCAATCAAACCCAGGAGCCAAGAGCCTTACATCACAGTCAAATGTAAGAAGAGTGCTCATTCACTGACTGTGGCTGACTCCACAGGACTGCTTCACTAGCACAGAGTGTCCAGTCACAGTGAGGCCCAGGGAGAATCCAAAACCCAGAGGCTTTCCTGCACAAGATTCTAAGGACGCCAGTGCTTTCCTGGGTCTGACCTCTGTTTCTATGCATGAAGCAGTCAACAATTTACTCTTACCCCAATCAAATGTATCCTTGAAGGTGACTCTCCTTCTGTGACCCGTACAGCCTCATCAAACACATTGGCATTAGTCCTGGACAGCAGAGCCACTTGTCCCTTTACATCACCTCTGATGCCACCTGAAGGAGAAAGTGCAGACTCCGTGCAAATCAACACATAGAACACAACTAATTTGGTTAAAAACAAAACAAGATTAAAAACCAGAAAGCCTTACTCTGATGGTTCCCTCCAACCAGTGTCTTTTTCCTGACTCTCTTGCAGACATCCAAGATGGTAGCCCCCACATAAGCTATTTCCACGCCAAATCTAAAACTCTGTTGTAAAAAGAATACAGCGAATGCAGTTAGCAACCTGCTCAGAGATGTGAGCTCGCGTCTGTCACTGCCAAGGCCTCACGCACCCTACACAGGAAAGAGATATGGAACTTCACTAAGTAAAATTACTTAGACACAAAAACAAGTCCGATGATTGAAAAATTACTGTTTCTATAAACAACAGCACTTTCTCTTTTTAAAGATTTATTTTTATTATTTTTAATTAGGTGTATTTTGGGTATCTGTGTGTGGGTATGTGTTAACTCGGTGTTGTCCACAGAAGTCAAAAGCAAAAGATCCTTCTAGATCCTTCTAGAGCTGGTGATATGGGTGGTTGTGACATAACATGAGTACAAGGAACTGCACTGGGGTTCTCTGCAAGAGCACTAAGCACTCTTAACCTCTGAGCCATCTTTCAAATCCCAATAATGCCATTTTCCACCCCGAGACCCTGAAATGATCTATGACCCAGAGTGTCCCCAACACATAATCAATACTCCTTTTCTTACCACTATCTTCAACTTCACTTGGCCCTCAAACTTCTTGGCTCATCTATTTGGCCCCTTTACTTCAGATCTCACACTCAACAGTTGTGTGCCCTCTGCCAGAGTAATCTTTTCTAAACACTTTAACTGAGTTGTTCTGTTGCTATCAAAAAGAAGCATAAGACATACAGAGAAAGAAACACGCCCCTCCCAGGATCCTCCACTCTCTGGACAGCCCGTCTCTACAACTGTCCATTAACTGTAAACTTCTTTCAAGTAAATCTCTTCTTGCCCTTTCTCAAGTCACATCTTGTGGAGTTTAAATTACACAAAGGTGAAGAGAGGGCAGAGATTTTGCCTCTAAGACCTTTTTCAACATCAACTTACTGACTCTGTTACATGAGCATTTTTAGGATTGGGATATACAATGCTCATAGAGAGCCTGCTGGACAAGCACAGGCCTTGGTTTCAATCCCCAATACTACAAAGAAAAAAAGGAAAGAATTCAGTTAGGTGTGGTGGTGTATGACCATAATCCCTAGAACTCAAGAGGCTGAGGCTGTAAGACAGTGAGTGAGGTCAAGACCAGCTTGAGCTAAATGTACAGTGAGTTCTTCTCTAAAAAAACAAACGCCAACATGAACAATCTCCGTATGTCTTGGCCCATGCTGTTCCTACCACCTTTTTACCTGCCTAAATAGGTTCCTATCCTTCAACACTCGGCCCAAGACCCTATTTTCTTGACCACATCTGCTGGAAAGATTCCAATCTTCCCAAACTTCTGTTATTCATTGCCTTTCCCCATGCATCCATAATAAAATAAAACAAGGCACACTTTGGTGAATAGTAATCATGTTGTCTATTTCATGAACTATGTCTATATCTACATCATGAATTATGTCATATAGTTGCAACCAATAAGAGCAAAACAAACTTTCAACAGGACTTTCTTGCTATAAAACTATTCAGAGTGAATCATGATCAAATTATCTGTAAAATAGACATTCATATATGACTCAAAACAAAACATAGCAAAAAAACTCCCAGCCTTATGCTATCCTGTAATGGAAGAGAAAAAGAAAAAAACAAATCTCTTTACATAACTCCAGATAATTTATACAGACGCTGCAACACCCACTCCTGTGTGAGCGTTTGCAGTGGAGGAACCTGAGTGCATCTAAGTTAACATCAACAGTCACATCCCATATTGATAATATATACTCCTAAAGCCATGAGAGAGATGGCACTTCAACCCTGTGATTCTTCCAAAACCATAACCCTTGTCTAACCTTGAGAAAAGGCCCCTGAGAGGTTTCAGCACACAGCTGGACTAAAACTACTTGATTAGTACAGAAAACTATCCATGTCATCAGAACCAAGGTTAAGTCTGATAAGATGTCGTTTCAAAGAAAACTAGAAGCAGGCGTGACTGTCCATAATATACAATTCTAAAGCAGCAAAAACTAAAGAAATATGAATGAACCATGGACTTTAGCTATAACAATAAACTGGTTTGTTATTTGTGGAAAATAAAATATCCCTTCCACAGTGCTGGTACATTCAAAAAACTAAGAGGGAAAACAGACTGCTTGCTTATATGTGCTAGGACCTGAGGATAAGTACAAGCGCTTACCTGTGTGAGATAAAAGACGTGGGTGTGGGGGACTGTGAACAGAGCGTTCACTGCACCTCGGAAGGTATAGATCTGTTGGTGGGGGTCCCCCACAAAGATCTTCCCACATGGCTGAGACAGAACTATGTTCATGATAGCTGCAACCAGCAAGAGGAAAAGTGAGAAATCTGAAGGGCAACAATCCACACAGCACAAAGAAGCCATATTTAAGAAAAACAAACAAACCAAAACTAAACCAGCCCAAGACAAACAACAAAAGTTTCTTTTCCTACAGTGCAGGCATTCTATAAAAGGGCTCGATTTAATCTTGGGCATAGTATCTGGTAATAGGACTGTAGATTATTTTTAGTCCTGGGCGAACTGATTATAGGAAAATATACAGACAAATGTAATTTTCTATTCTAAAATTATCATACTCCAAATTACCTAAAAAGTCAGTATTTTAATACTGTCTATTTTCTACTAGTCATGCAACACAAAATTTCACTCTAAATTGACTACCTTTTCTCAATCAGCATGAGGCTAGGTCCCTATATGCCGAGGATGTAGTCACTCAGCATTTTAGGAACAACTTCGGTAAAACATATAGAGGAAGACAAATCTACTTCAGATGTGGGGAACAGACAACTATGGAAATCGTAAGTCTAATTTCTGAAAGGCTAAGAATCATTTGCTCCTCTTCTTTAATACAAATAAGAACAACCAACTTATTTCATGTATGTGTCCTCTTACATAATCATGATGCTGTTTCTAGGTATTTGAGATACATATGTTCTACTGATGTCCTGAATAGTTTATCACCTGGGGTACAGTCCTGGGCCTCATCCACAAAGATGGCGTCAAAAGAGGCAAGCAAAGGCTTGCTCAGCTGCCAGAGTTTCAAATAGCCTAGAAGAGAGTAGGAACCAAGAGTCACAAGTCATAAGCAAAGCAGTTCCATCTAAGAGACAGCCACACTAGGAAAGCTGCTTACCATCATGTGTCATTTGGTATGCATCTTCTTTACATTCCTCCAGCTTCCGCATATTGTCCCAAAGTCGGCTTGCTTCATGGACACCATTCTAAAAAGTAAGTGACACAGGAACCCAAAGTTTAAGACCCTGGAAGAGACAGTACCCTGAAATCACACCTCTGCTTCCACACAGTGCAGTGGGAGCAAACACAGCACCCCAGAACATAGCAGGGCCCACCCTTTCAGGGCTCCAAAGAGTCTTAACACTGAGATATCAAGTGCTTAGAAAGGTACAAACAGGGGCCACAGCAGAGCAAAGATCAAAGACCTCAACAGCTGATGAACCAAAGAGCCAACTGTTTTTGTAGATTCATTATTTGACAATTCATTTTTTAAAATCTACTAGGGAACAGCTTTTTTATGAGCAAAATGTGTGTAGAGCCACAACAAACAGAAGGAAGGAAGGAAGGGAGGGAGGGAGGGAGGGAGGAAGGAAGGTGGATGAAAAGGAGATTCCCAACGACTGATTAAGAGCTGAGCTCTTACAAACTATGGGCGAGTCCTTCAGCATCTGCTCTGACCTAGTACACAGGACATGGGAAAACTGTGGCAGGTAATAAAACACACTTCTCTGTGACCCTAGCACTAAGGAAGCTAATGCGGGAGAATCCTGAGTTTGATATTTGCCTGGGTCACAGAGACCTTCACACTCCCGAAAACAGAGAATCAAAAACCCAGTAGGACTACTATGACAGCTAAGGGAATGCCTGTGAGTGCTCCCTACAGGAAAAGACGCCACGTGGTTCCCAGCTATCAAGACAGGCATTCGTTTCGCCATGACAAAAATGACAAAGATAATACCATATTCCTCATTCTGAACACACTGGAGACTCACCAGTTTCTCACTCTGCTCAACCATGACTCTCTGTCCTTGGCTATTCTTGCACCATATGGGCACGTGATCAATAGTCGGCTCTTCGTCAGCTGACGCAAAGAAGTTTTCTAAAGTCTTACACACTAACTTGGCCCTTATGAATCCACCTTTCCCTTCAGCAAGGACGGAGTTAACCATGAAGGGCGTTAACTTGAAGAGATTCAACTTCTTCTTCAGCTGGTACCTGTAACACATACCACAGTGAATGCCACTGGCCTTCACAGGCACTGTGTATTTACCGTATCCCCAATTCTCATCACCAACAAGGTAATTCTAGGTATCAGACACAGGAGAGGTTTTAAGAACCACAAAACCACATCTGAACAGCTTGCCCTAAACTTTCATGAACTCACAAATGACAACCAGAGAGCTGTACAAAACAGCTCACAGCAGATGCTACTGTGTGGTTCGTGCTCCAAATAGTCCCTCCCCTACCCAATAAAGTACCCACAGTTCCTTAAGCCTTTGGGTCCACAAAGCCTCAGGCATACAAGGGTTTCCCTATTTGCCCTCCCCAGAAGTGTCTGAAACTCTTCAGAATTTGTGACATTTTGAACTTCAAAGTCATGATTCCAGGGAAACACAAATTCCTTCTCAGTGAGACAGCTATTTGTAAACAAATTAATTTATAGTGTAAAAGTATGATTATCCAAGCTCTTTTTGTCTCTTGTGTGTACACGAGACACACAAGCCACGTGAGAGAACAGCAGCCACGTGAACTGGCGCCAGCAATGGTGATGCTCACTTTCGCCCTACGTGACTGTAGGCCATGGAGTGGAACGTCTTGCAGATGACATTGCTGGGGAAGACCAGCTCTGCCTGCTTTGCGATGCTCTTGTTGAATGTGACGTACAGAAACCTGCTCTGAGACCACTTCTCAGCATACTTGACCAGGGTAGAGGTTTTCCCAGTGCCTGTTGAAGCCAAAGGAAAGAATATGACCCTCTGACTAGGAAAATCATGCACCAGGATCCCCACTCAGGTGTTTCTCAGGCTTATCCATCCTCTGACTTAAGACTGGCATCAATATTGATAAAACGTGGTGCTGTGAATGGAGCAGGAGCCCTCCCTCACAGAAGGTTAGAGTGGCTGGGATCTTGGCTCTGTCCACGCAGGAAAGGGAAAGCCACTGACCTCACTGACTTATTATTTGAGTTTGTGAAGACATGGGTCCCCAGAAGCAAGGACTCAGTTACAGCGAGCTGTGCTGCACTAGAGGCCATACATGTCTCTGAAGCAAGAACATACACAGGGACTCAGGGAACCTCTGATTCTCTCTGCTGCACCTGCTCTACTTTCTACCATTCATCCAGTTTTCCAGCTAGTCATGTATTTCATTTAACAAATATTTACTGAATACTTATTACATGGTCACCTATGTGCCAAACACAGAGAGATAATAAAAAAAGATAATAATCTAGTTAGAAATAAACACCAACACAGGGTGAAACCAGATAACAAGATGAGACTCTAAAGTTAGCACAGGGTAGGAAAGAGAAGAGTGAGAACCAGAAACAAAACTGGTCTCACCTCTAAGGTAAGACTGGGAACATGACTCCTCCTTCCCAGACTAAAAAGGCTGCTCTGAAGATCCTCTTGAACTGAGCAGACATATTACAGAATAATGCATGTGCTGGCTACTTTTACTGTATGGTAATCAGGTATGATCAATTAGCAAAACAGTTACATTGAGCTCAGTAATCAGATGTTCTGGATTCAAATTACTAAAAAGGTTTTCATCAGGAAGAGACAGAAATGATAAGAGTGAACATGGCATGATAGAAAAAAAGAGAGAAATGGGGTGTGGGGGAGAAGAGAGGGAAAGAAGGCATCCTGGAGAGGTAGCATCCCACTGATTCTGGCTCTGCCACTTGCTTATTTAAACTAAAGTAAGACTCTTTGAACTTCAATGTCTTCATAAAATAACACTATCAAACCAACTCACAGAATGCTGCCAGGACCAGCACCACAGCAGGCCACTGCAGGTGTTTAATAAATGTGGCCAGCAGGATATCAAAGTAGAAAAGCAGCAGGAAGGATTACAGGTAGCAAAAACAATGTGAGCCAAAGTTCAAACAAGACTCTCCAGGTATTTCAGGAGACTCTAACTAAGATAAGAAGCACAAGAGACAATATATTTAGGAAAGCAGACTGAACCATGAAAGACTCTTCAAGACATCCCCTGTAAGACCAGGAAGCTCCTGAACCCTGTTATGCAGATTAATATGACCTGCCTCTCCAGAAGGAATTGCTGACTGAGAACACACGTGAGGGACTCACCCTACCTCACTGACAGACTTCACAGAACAAAGCCTAGGAACTATCTATCTAAGCAGGAATCCAGTGTAGATATTCTAAACAGTGGTAAGAGAAAACCAGTCCTTCTTGACTGGCTGCTTTGGGGATTAACTAAAGTAATTTGATAAAAGGTCAAGGTCAGAGTGCTCTGGTAGGTAGTGGAAAGGGGATACAGTGATTAGCAAGCAGGCAGAAGCAACCACATGAACCTCCAGGCACCTGACAGGAGCTCCCTTACCTGCAAATGCCATAATTTTTACCACCTGGAGAGGCTCCATCTTATGGTTCAGAATCAGCTGTTGTTCATGTGTTAGTTGGATAGATGTTTTCTTGCTATAATCATTACAGAAGAGAAATTAGAAAAACAGAAAGGAATTAAAAAGCCCAAGTGATGGCCAGTCCAAAAACCAAACAAGCAAACTGCATATACAGCAGTAGACCCCCAATATGTCTCCCCTGGTGGGGGTGGGCTGAATGTTCTGAAACTAGAGTAAGATGCTACTGTACAGCTCAATAAATCCACCACTAGAAACCAGCGAACTCCTAATGGGTGAAATTTTCACAATTCAAATCATGCCTCAAGTGATTAAGACAAAACACTTCTTGTCCTCACACATGAAAAAGCCAAGGAAGGAAGTAAACCAGAATTGTGGTTCATGTCTGCAATCGTAGCACTCAGGAGGCTGAGGCAGGAGGAGTGTGGAGTTTTGGAGTTCAAGATCAGCCTGGGCTGCACACTGAGACTTTGTCTAGAAGACCAAGCACACCCACATATAATGCATACATACCCTGGCCAGACAGATGGCTCCTCTTTAACTTTGGTGGCCTGAGTACAGGAATTCTCCTGAAGGTATAGGCAATAGAAAATGTTGTAGTGAATCCTAATGGGGGAAAAAAGTAGATTTAGAAACCTCCAAATTTAAATCATAGTCTATCTCATTTTTTTTCTTGGATGTATTTCAACTCCTTACCATTTCCAAAAAGAATATTCCTATTACATTTCATTGAAAAAAATGGAAAGAGAATTCTGTAGTCTCTGCAGCTTACAAAAGCACTTCTGGGAACCCCAGCTCTGAGAAACAGGCACTGTGTCTTCTATGTGTAGCATCACACTAAGGAGACCAGGACAAGCTCTTGAGGGAACTTGAGGGAATCCGTGATCTTAAGAGATAAGCAGTCAACAGAGCAGGCTTCCACTGGAAAGCAGGCATAAACAGCACTTCCAGCAACGTGAAGCCTGCTTAAACAACACAGCCTCATTGCCAAACTCGTCATCTTTCTGAACCTCAGTTGCTCTTCTGTCTGGTGATGTTGGCTTAGAAGCATGAATAACATTCTCCTTTAAAAGTTCCTAAGGAAGCCGGGCGGTGGTGGCCCACGCCTTTAATCCCAGCACTCGGGAGGCAGAGGCAGGCGGATCTCTGTGAGTTCGAGGCCAGCCTGGTCTACAAGAGCTAGTTCCAGGACAGGCACCAGAAACTACAGAGAAACCCTGTCTCAAAAATCAAAAAAAAAAAAAAAGTTCCTAAGGAAAGGTGCTTGGTGGATAGTAAGGCAAGAATACCAAAGACAAGATGTCAGAACAGCTAAAGGGGACCAAAGATGACAAAACTAAGTCAATAGATGAATGAGATTTAATAAACTCGGTCTACCCAAAGCAGCTCCCAACCCTCTCATGTCCCCAGCTCCTGGAACACTAATTCCCTAGTCAAGTGCTCCACTCCACTCCAGAGTGAGGGGAGCTGATCTCAGAGCATCACTTTTTTTGGTGGAAGGTATGTTTAACAACATTTCATGGGTTGGACATACAACCAGATCAACATACTGGACTACTATGGTCTAAACTGTGCCCCTTGAAACTCAAAAGCTGAAGCCCTAATACCAAAAGTGACTACTGGAAGAAAGGAAGGAAAGAGAGAATTAAGATTCAGTGCAGAGACAAAGCTATGGCTGTGAGCCACTACGACTCTCATTTTCATCAGAAGAGACACAATGTCAAGGGTTCTGTCTCCCCTGCCCCCATCTCTCTCTTGCTGGAATACAGAGAAGACATAGGACCCCAATCTTCCCACCTTGTTCTTGGATCTCCAGCCTCCAAAAGGGCAGGAAAGCAAATGTCTGTGGCTTAAGTAACCTGGTCTATGGTCCTGTTACAGTGTCCACACGCACACAGAATATAAGTATACATTTGCTTAAGAGGACACTGTTCTTCATTTGATCATTTGTCTTGGTGGAATCTTACAGAACTTCTTGCCCCAGGCCTCAATGCCCATGGAGTGGGCTAGAACATAAATCAGCTAACAAACTGAACATAACTTGGGACTAAAGTGACAGGGCACAGCTGGAGAACAATCTGCACGAGCTGACCAGGGTGACAGGGCACTGCTGTGCTTCTCTCGGGGATCACTAGTCCCAGGGGCCAGTCTTTTCCTACAGGAGAAACCCTCTGGGTTTCTGCTTCTCTAGATCTGGTTGCATGATGGCTGCCCATCTTCACCACTTCAGATGAGAGGGCAAGTCATTCCATATATAACACCTATACTCGGGATTTTAAAGATCTTCCTTCCCCTGGTCCCCAGACATCTCTCCTAATCTTGCACAAGTTTCTCCCATATACAATGCACTACTGCCACACTAAACTTCCCTGGTATTTATCAAATTCATTCCAACTTTGGGCCATTAAATTACCTATTTTTTCTCCTAAAATGCTTTTTATCAAACTACAAACGGAGGTTCCCCCTTGACATTCGGCCTTCCTCAGAGAAGTGTTTGCTCATGCTATCCGAAACAATGCTCCCCTCTGCCCTCTCACAGCGTTCTGCTGGCCTCCATTACAGCACACACCAATCCCTCAAGCGCCTCCTACTGTGTGCACATTCGGTATGAAGTACCTTCACTACAGACTTTCTTGTGCCTGGACAAGCTTGCTACTTATCTTTTCATATTTTATCACTGTCAAGATAACACTGAATGAGAAACCAACACTTGAGGCCTTTCGCCCATTTAGAAGATACAGTCACTAATTCCCATGGTCTGCCCCAGAAGTGAGCAGGGAAGAAAGAAATGCTAACGTTTTCCTAGGAAAATGTAGCCAGGTGTGAATATAGTGAGGCATCTCACCTTCACCTACAGCTTCAACACTCAAGAACATAAAAACTCCGTGAAGAAATCTTAGTTGACAGGCACATGGTATTCACGAAGCACTAAGAATTGCATTTCCACAGCCCAGTCCCCTTATACTCTACGTAGGGAGAAAGGAGGAGCTAGGGCAAGTCCAGGCATCACAGCATCCCCCTCCTCCAGGGTGGTACCTATTGCTGATGTTGATCCCCTTCTCCCTCATGGCATAAAGGAGCACAGCTATGCAGTACAAGGTCTCGGTGACATCTGGCATGGTCACTGTGGAACTGGGTCTCCTGAGGCAGAACAGCAGGTACTGGATGTCGTTCACGCAGCTGGAGAGGAGCACCATGGCAGCCACCAAGGCCCAGACATTAATGCCCTTCAAAGAGAAGTATACGGGAAAGGAAGAGAAGCCAGATCCAGTCACAAACTGGAAACTAGTGAGGAAACTGATAGACATTTCCAGCTTCTTACTTTACTGTGTATCTGTAGTAAGGCCTTTAATCTCTCTGCCCCTTTCAAATTACCCAATATGTCAACAAGGGAAGAGCCACCTTTAGGGCTAGAGAAATATTTGTTTTTCTTGTAGAGGACCCAGGGTCAGTTCCCAGCACCTACATGGCAGCTCACAATTGCCTGTAACTCCAGTTCGTGGGCTCTCTTCAGACCTCCACAAGCTTCTGCACACATGTGCAGACCTACCCTTAGGCACACATCCACATAAAAAATATAAAGATTAACACTACTCAGAGATTCAATCAAAAATTTGAAAATACACCCAATCTTCAACTAATCTTAATTACCAACACGCTTCCAGGGAGAAATAATGTCACCATCCCTCAGAGTACCCGCACAGCCTCTTAGTCACATACCCCAGCAGCTGCATAGAGGTCAGGAAGTTGTTGACGCATGCATGCCTCAGCCTCCAAAAGCAGAGGGTGGTCCCTCAGGCTCCACAGCACCTTCTCAGGGTCTACACTTGGGGAGCATTTGATGGTGGCTATATATCTGTAAAAAACTCAGGAAATGAGTCCGGAAGGAAGACAATCGTGAGCAAAGACATATGAGGAAGGACTTTGAAAACTGCCTCCCAAACAGGAGGAAAGACACTCACCGTACGAGGTTCAGCACACATAAGTCTGAGTCCTTTTCTATGCCATGGCTCAAGAGAATGCCATCCACTTTGCTGACAGCCTGCTCTTCGTTTATCAAGTATCGATGATACAGCTTTTTCCAAGGAATGAACTATGCAGTTGAAAAACAAAATGAAATAACATCACAGCCATGATTCTTATGAAGACCGGGCCAGCAACAAAGAAAACCTTCTACCAAGTGCAAAGCAAGTATAGCTCCCGATCTGAAGCTGGGAGGCCAGGGAGAAGCACTGTACGAGCCTGAGTCTCGGCTCTGACACAGACGTCACACGTCCTGGGAAAGCTAGCACTGTGGTTTTCTTATCTGAAGCATCAGGTGAGCAGCACTTCCAAGTTCCAAAAGCCATCCTGACCTTAGATCAACAGCTGCCACGACACAAAGGACGGCATTATGGAATGCAAATGCTACACAGTGACATCTTCACCAAGACATGGTGACAAAAAGAGTAACTCCATGTGCTAGAGTGCATAGATGTGAAGCAAACACCGACAGAACTGAAGGAAGAAGCAGGTGGCAGAGACGTGCAAGGAGATGCTGGATTTGAACAGCACTAAGACTACTGAACCTAATAGATCCAGACATATTTTCCATCCAACAGGAGTAAAATCCATACTCATCTCAAGCTACATGAACATTCTCCATGTTGGATCACATTCTGGGTCATAAAGCCAGTCAATCAATAAAAATGGCTGAAGTTAAACCATGAATTTTTACAGTAACAACATGAGGACACAATAAATCAAGGCATCAGGAAAACCACACTACCTACAACTTAAACCAGGCATTCCTGCTCTTGAAATGAAGTGTCACCATGTAGTGGAGGCTGGCCTAATACTGACTATGTATAGCTGAGGCTGGTCTTGAGCACATGGTCCTCCTACCACCATCTCTCTAGTGCTGGGAACAGGCATGTATCAGTGCATCTGGCTACACAGTGCAACCTTGGAATAACCAATGGGTCAAAGAATAAATCAAAAAGAAAGTACCCCCAAGACAGGTGATAACAAAGACACAACACAGTAAAACTTACGAAACACTCTGAAAATAGTGCTGATCAGGAAGTTTGCAGGTAAAATGCTTCTTTTTACAACAGAGAAGGATTGAGCATTTGGTAGAACATCAATGGTAGCACATTTGCCTAGAATGTGCAAGGCATAGGTTCAATCCTTAGCACTGAAAAAGATCTGAAAAGAGTAAACTACCCTCATATCTCAAAGAATAACAAAAAAGGAGCTAAACTCAAACCAGCAGAAGAAAGAAATTACAAAGAGTGGGGCAGAAGAACCGGGCAGAGCAGTGCACATCTGTAACCAGGGCTGGGGCGATGGACAAAGGGTTTGAAGGTAGTCTGGAATACATAAAGAGACTGCCTGAAAACAGCAGGAGCAACAGCAATGATACTAATAACAATCCTTAGCTAGATCAACTAAGGAAAATGAAAGGAACATTAAAATTAATGCCATAGAAGTAAAATACTACAAGGGGGAAAAATAGATAAATTCCTAGAAACACTCATCCTACCAGGTCTGAATTATAGAAACAGAAAGTTTAAAAGAATGATAATAAATAAAGAAATAGAATCAAAAATTAAACCTTCCATCACAAAGAACCAGATGGCTTCACTAGGGAATCCAACAGAACATTTAACAAACAATCAACACCAGCATGCCTCACACTCTGCCCAAAAGACTGACAAGAAGGGAAAAGTGCCAGATTCCTTTGGTGAGGCCAATACTTCTATAACATGAGAGCCAGACATAGACGCTACGAGAACCTACGAGCCATGGCAGACTACTGAAAATAAAGACATTGAACTGCTGCTGCCGATGATCAGAATGGCATGGCTATAACAATTTAGGAGAGAAGTGCAAGCTTGGATATGGCCCCAAGAAATCTTTGCAAACAAAAAGCCCTTACTTATCCCCACCACCAGTACTTAGCTCATACAAGAGAGTTGACCATTTAGTTGACAGAAATAGTATAAGCAAACAGGATTCACATCTAAAATCATAAAAACACTTCTCAGAAATCAAGAACTAATAAAACCCCACAGCAGAATGCTAAAATGACAAGATACTTCTCCCAATATCTTTTGTACTCAGAAGAAAAATTTAGCTTTCCTGTTTTGAACTGTACAAAATTCAGCTCAGGGGTCTCTGAGATCTAAAACTATGAGGCTTAGTATAAAGGTTGGAATTAGCAGCTGTAACTATACTACAAAGTCACATGATGAACTGTACCATAAATGCTATTGATCATGTTTGGGTCACCGCAAGAAAAAGAGAAAGAAAATCAACAATGTCATGAACGTTCAAAGAAAGCATTCAATGGAGTGCTCTGAAGACTAAGTTTACCGTAAACAACATCGTGTTGAAAAAATACAAACAAAAAAGATTATCAATATCCAGGAAAAACAAAAGTCTAAAAGAATAATAACAATTCTACAGGGAACAGCTACCCACCTCCCTGATGGATAGAGGAGAGTCTGAACCAAAGTCCTTTTTCCAGCATGACTGTACAAAAAAGTAGAGAAGGCAGAAAGACAGGCAGTCCCTTTGCCCAGTCTGTGCCCAGAAAATAGAAATGTTAAGTGATTCAAACAGGGAAGAGAAAAAGGCATGGAAGAGAGTGGGTTACTAAGACGGATTACCATAGCAGGGTTACACTGCCAGGAGCACAAACTGCTATAACAGCAGAAAGGAAGTGATGAACTTCAACAGGACAGGATGGGAAGGCAAAGTCTGTCCAGCTGATGAGTCTTGAAGAAGTAAGATGGCAACAAGTCAGGTATGGTGACCTTACTCTAATGGGATGGGGGATTACACTGCATGGGGGGCCAGATAAGCAGTCTATTATCAGGACACAGCAAATCATGTGCTTCAGAGAGAACAGAAATGTGAAAAGAAGTAAGTAAGGGCTCTGGAAGATTCGGCAGGATAGGCCTAGATGGCCCCAGAAGTTAGCACGGTATTCATGAAGCCAAAGGAAACGACCACTTTGGGAAGGTCATCTCCTCAGAAACCTGCACTCAGTGAAGCTAATCTGTATGGTGTTTGAAGGAGCGCTAACTTACCAGTGGGTCATTGATGATTTCCCTCCACAGGTGGCACACCAAGCAGAGGTTCCAGTAGAGGTCCTCCACTGGGAGGAAGGCAAAGATGTGCCTCAGAACTTCACTAGGCAGCCTACAAATGTGGCTGGGTACTTCTTGGCAAGGCAAAGTTCCAAGAAGGCCATAGTATGAGTCAGGAAAGGGATCAGGACCAATGTCCTCAATGTCCTGGCCAGGTTCTCTAGACACCGTAGAGCACTGTGACAAACCATCCTCTGCTTCTTGCCTGACCTCCCTAAGCCTTGTGCATGATGAATATAAACGATGGCGTGGAGTCTTCTTAGTAACTCCATCCCACTGGCTGGCCTCTTCAGCTTTATTACTCTCTTCCTCAAAGGAACGAGACCGTTTCCTGGCAGGAAGAGCAGACCCTGAAGAGCCCAGCCTCTCTTCTCCATTATTGTGCTGAGGCAAAGTACAGCTGCTCTCTGCAGGAAAAATCATATCACCCTTAGAGTCCTGACAGCTGTCCCGGTCAACAGAATTGCTTTTGGCCATGTCATTGGTACAATGCTGGTATTCAGCTAGGAAGAAGTCAGTAATTAATCTCTGATATCCTCGACCTGTAGAGAGAACCCAAACAGAACAAGAAAAAACAAATCAGTGGCTGCTGACCCACAGTAGACACAAATAAAACTATTTAATTACCTGTGTTAACAGAAAAGAGACACTGATGTGCTTATGGATCAGGAGGTCAAATAAATAGCTAATATAAAAATAATCAGACACGGGGCTGGAGAGATGGCTCAGTGGTTAAGAGCATTGCCTGCTCTTCCAAAGGTCCTGAGTTCAATTCCCAGCAACCACATGGTGGCTCATAACCATCTGTAATGAGATCTGGTGCCCTCTTCTGGCCTTCAGGCATACACACAGACAGAATTATGTATACATAATAAATAAATATTTTAAAAAATAATCAGACACGTATTTAGCAAGAGACAACTGCTGTGTATTGACCAACACTACCGTAAGCACATATATGAATAAGGTCAGATGCTGCACACTGGACACCTGGGTGGGCAGACAGGTAAGAAGTGACTGCACCCATCTGCACTCCAGCACAATGCAGCTTCCAGGTTTGCTCCCACCACAGCAAGTCCACATTTCCCCTAGCAGAAAGAAATATCCTTCATCAATACCCTACTGTGAATCTGTCATTTTTAAAACAAAGAGCTGGAATTTTCTCATTTTATTAGCATGACACCCAGTCTTTTCTTCACATGCACTCAATCAGAATTCCGAAATGCATCTGTTTTTGAGAGGACTATGGAGTAACCACCCCTGAGCTCACCACCATTCAAGAGAAAGCCCAAACAACAGCAGTCTCAGACAGCACCACAGCTTTCTCTAAATAAAGTATCAGTGTCGAACAATACATACGGTTTCTTCCTAAATGGTAAAGCAAAATTCTTACTTTGGAAACACAGAGAATAGATTGAAACCAGAACTAGCCTTTAAATGAATTAACAGAGTTGAAATATATGTCATATTGGGGAGAGGGACATCAATTATCATTGCTTCCAGAACAATATAAAAGACCAGAGTGGAAGGGCAGGCTAAATCCAGATACTTCTTTTTTTTTAATTCATTTATTTTTATTTTATGTGCATTGATGTTTTTGCTTGCATGAATGTCTGTGTGAGGCTGTCAGATTCCCTGGAACTAAAGTTACAGACAGTTGTGAGCTGCCGTGTAGGTGCTGGGAATTGAACTTGGGTCCTCTGGAAGAGCAACCAGTGCTGTTAACCTCTGAGCCATCTCTCCAGCCCCTAAGTCATCTCTCCAGCCCCGCAGAGACTTCTTAATTGCCAAAGTCAGTCATTGCACTAGTAAAAACTGCTACCCACTCAGCAACAGAGGCCTGAGGAACTAACAAGACAGGTGAGAGGTTGTCTATCCACACAAAGCAAGTTAAACTTCAGAACGTAAAATTAAGTCTGAAACTCCCTCACAGAATTGGTTATAGCAGTCCCCAAATTGAAAATTATGGATTATTTAAACTACATTGGATTCTGAAATTATGAAAAGTGATCTAAAAATTTTTAAAACAGGTATTAACAAAAGTAAGAATTTGTCTGATATGAGGGATGACAAAAAAATCAAATTGCTAGAAGTTGACTTTCATGTATTAATATTATCAAAATTAAAGAGATTAGTGACCCATATTTGATCATTATGCATTACACACTCTATCAAATTACCACACTGTGCTCCATTAAAAAAGGATAAACATCGCAAGCCAATCAAAAAAAAAACCATTGTTTTTAAATTAACAAAAGAAACAAAACCCAAAAGCAAACAAACACAAACAGATCCGTCAGGTATGGTGTGAGTCCACTGCAGTGACAGGGTGACAGCTCAACGGGCTCTCAGGAATCGCTGTGACAGGACAGAAGAGCAGCATGTCTAAGGGCGTTAGGCTGACCCACAGACCAGCTACCAAGAGGCCAGGGCACAACTGGTGAAGCACTGGGGGAACCACAGGCCTGTGATCAGCTGCTCGGGAGGATGAGGAGCTTAGTGAGCACAAAGAGAGGGTACGTCGCTCCCGGCAGAGCACACAGGGCCCTGGGTTTAACACCCATCCCTATGTACAACAACCCAAAGAAAAAGACCGCCACGGGCAGGAACACTCTAACAGTGACGGCGGTCCGGGTCCTTTATTACTTTATAGTTAGGTACGCTGACAGGGTCTCTTGGGCTCTAACATTATAGAACTTCCATGGAAAACACAAAAAAATGAATATTAGTGTCAGCCCATTCTAACAGGTCTGTAAAATCAAGCAGTGACATTTACAAACACTTGTATGAACTGGAAGGCATTCAAAGGTCATAGCAACTACAGATCTTGAAACAGAAGATACTTTTCTGAAGACATACCTCTATCGCCTCCTTTTCTTCTGGGTCTAGGATAGAGGCCATGGTTCGGGTCTCTGCTTGTCCATCTCTGAATGAAGGGCTGAGTCGCGGCCAAATGTTTCCGGGCCAAATGCTGGCAGTCAGTTGCTGTAAGATGCTTCCGCTTGAATCGTCTCACTGTTTTAGAATGAGTAGAAGACATGGGATACTTGTTAGTTACTCCAAACACAGACGCTTGCCAGTGAATTATAGACTGAGCATCACACCACAACCAGCCTTTCTCTTCTCTATGAGCTCCATGACTAAGCATACGTTTCTTAGAATTTAAGAACGTTTATGGCCACCACCTCTTTGAATGCACCCAATCTTCAAGGAGAATGTAAAGCAGCACTTATAAAAGACATTTTATGATCCTAAAGTGACATTTTCTTTTATTTAACTGCTTAAAAAGTATAACATATTTTATAGAAGATTTAGTCGTGAAACATTCAAAAAGAAGTTTTCACAGCCTAAAGACAATCACTGCACGCTGACTCTCAAATTGTGGATCCTCACTTTGAACTTTTAAATTTATGTCTCTAATCTGGAGTCTGTACAGGTCAGGAAGCTAGAAAGGGTCCATGAGAGAGAAGAGGGAAGAGGTCTTAAGGGGTGAGGGGATATGATACAAAAGAAGTCAACATTAACATAACAGACTAGCAACTTTCCCGACCTTCATTTAAGCCACATTTCTACAATAGTCAAAAAAAGAAAAAAAAGAGAAAAAAAAGAAAAGAAAAAGGAGTTGGCTATATCTTTATTTTAAAAATAAAAGTTTGGGTTTTTTTGTTTGTTTGTTTTTGTTTGCTTGCTTTTGTCTGGAGATAGGGGCTTACCATGATGCCTTGGCTGGCCTAGAACTCAGAGATCCTCCTCTCTGTCAAAGTGAAAAATTTTATAGTTTACTTTCTATCAAAGCAATGGAATAAATTAAAGTACTTCTTTTAAATTGCAACTTTTAAAAAAGACAAGTATGAGGACCTGGGTTCATATCCCTAGAACCCATGTTCTAAAAAAAACAAAACCAAAAAAAAATGGGTACAGCAACTTAGGGCTGTGGTCCTAACCAAGAGAGGCTAAGACAGAAGGATCCCCAAAGCTCAATTGCCAGCCTATCCAGCCAAGTCTGCCAACTCTAGGTTCAGTGAAAGACAATGTATCACAAAGTAAGGTACAGTGTGATGAGTGAGACACGTGATATCAACTTCTGGCTGCTGTGATTCGTGTGTGTGTGTGTGCACCAGGAGACAGACAGACAGACAGACAAACAAACACGGACACAGACAAACAGACAGACATACAGACACATGCATGCTCCGAAGAAACATATACTGAGGTCCTGGGCTTCAAGATATATAATACTAAGTATAATTACAATAACTACAGATCACGCTATCTATCTGACTCAATACCCAGCCAGCTGAGAAATCACCCTTCCTAATTGCAGTTAACTCTTTGAAGTTTTAATATAAGTTTTTAAAAATTAAAGTCCATGAATACTGTAAGACATCTAAAAAATTATTTCTGTACACACTAATAGTTGTATAGAACTGCCTAAAAAGATGTTGGAGACCTTAGACTACCTCAGTTTGGATGACAGCACTACCCTATTGGGCACCAAAACAAAATGCACACATGGCTCCAATGAAGGAAGCACTGGGTAGTTCTGACTTAGGTCAATAACTCTTATCTGAGAGGGGCCACAGTTGATGAGAAAATACACAGAGAAATGCCAAAATCAGATGCAAAGTTACCTACCTACTTCTTCTATTCAGCAAAGCTTATCTAATTTGAAGAAAATGTAGAAAGATAAAAACTGGAAGTGTGTGGCAGCCCAACTGCAGCCAATCTTGTGTTGCTGTGTTCCTAGAAACACCTCTAACAACAGCAAGCAATAAGACTCAATCCCATACTTACAACGGAAAACCACGCATCTAATCCCAGTACTGGGGAAGCAGAGGCTGGTGGGGGTTGATGGGCTCAAGGACAACCTAGTCTACACAGTGAGTGTCAGGCCAGTCAGGGCTACATAGTGCGACCCTGTCTCAAAAAAATAAACAAAAATGAAACGAAGAAAATAAAATATCCTTTCAACTACTAGTTTTGTAAAAACCTCTGTTCACTAAACACCACGTTGTATTCACCTGTAAGGTAGCAAAAAAAAAAGTTAATTTTTTTCTGTATTAAAAAGATTTGTATTTGAGAGTAACAATAAGTGTAAATTCTGATGGTTATTTTAAAAATAAGACTTGATGGCAGGCAAGATTACTCGGTGGATAAAAACGCTTGCCTTGTAAGCCTGAAGAACTAGAATTCTATCCCAGTACCCACGGTAGAAGAGAACTACTTCACACCTGTGCTTTGACCTCCACATGTACTCTGCGCATGCCATGCACACATTCACATTTACACAAATACACACAATATTAGTTTTGTTTTTCTGTTTTTTAAAATAATTTATTTAACTTTATTTCATATATTTGGTATAAAGGTGTCAGATTGCCTGAAACTGAAGTTACAGACAGTTGTTAGCTGCCATGTGGGTGCTGGGAATTGAACCCAAGTCCTCTGGAAGAACAGCCAGTGCTCTAAACTGCTGAGCCATCTCTCCAGCCCTAATTTCATTTTTTTAATGAGACTTGAAATCTTACAACTTTACCTTTCCTGTTCAGACCCTTGCATATTATACAGAAAACCTAATTGCTATTTTGGCTGCAGAAAGGAACCTATGAGAGACTTTCCCAAGCACAAACACACCTGGGCCCTGGTCACTCCAAGGATGCTGCTGCCTTCTCACCTGCAAGTCAGCTGACCCTGAGATCCAAAACAGGAATCTCTGCTTAACTCTCAAAACATCTAACTGCGTCAAAGCTGACATGCACAGCACACATAATTATAATGGATGATATCAGAGAATAGCTACCACTAGCCAGAAGATACTCACATCAATTGGCCTGGGCAGGAGACACTTTCATGAAAATCACCAAGAAGATAAGCATTACTCTATTTATATGATCTAGCACCATGGGGCCAGTCACATGTTTAGCTGGGTGGAATAAGTCAGATAATAGAAAGCTTCTGAGAATCAATGAAGAGAAACATAACCAATTACCACACTCATCATCAGTTAAGAATTCCAAAGCTTACCCAAATCTACAATACAATCTCTGATTTATAGACTAACGTGAGAAATACAAAACAAGAGACCAACGGAGTCCTCTACATCTGTATACATACACATCCAGCAGCAACCTTGGGACATTTCTGTAAAGCAGGTAAAAATGGTTTCATCCCAACCACTAATTAACTAATTAACAATACCCTAATCAATAGAGAAAGCTAAGGCATTGATAGTGACCATTAACTAGATATGTCTTAATCAGATGTCTAGGAATCAAAACACATTGACTGTTTCACTGTACCCTCTAGTGCAGCACAGAGGCAGAAACTTAGTACATTCCTCGTGACTGAATGCTTGTGTGTTCCCCAAGTTCTTACACTGAGATCCTAAAAACCAACATGATGCTACTAAGAATCAGGACTAGCCAGGTGTGGTAGTGCATGTTTGGAATCCCAGCATTTGGGAGGTAGAGACAGGAGGCCAGTCTTGGCCTTAAAGAGAGTTCATCTTTGTCCTGATGATGAGACCCTGTCAAGAAAGGGGAGAAGGGACACCTGAATGATTAAGTAATAAGGGTAGAGCCCCATGAATGGGATTAAGACCCTATGAATGAAAATCCAAGGGTCACAGATGCAACTTAGAAGTAAAAGTAAAATAATTGCCCACCATGTGCGGAGCCTTGGGTTCAATCCCCAAACCACAAAAGCAAAAGCTTGTTTAGAAGATTAAATGTTTACAGAACCATAACAGAGGCACAAGAATGAAAGCAGTAATGAGAATGTTAGAACAGTGTTTGCCTCCCACGTGTTCTGGTACATCCTTGTATGTTCTGGCATGAAGCCATCATAGGAAGGAGCTAAGGTTAATAGTTAAGTGGGGGAGGCACACTTAGAGGAGATCTGGCCTCTGTATGCAGGAAGCTTTCTCTATTATACTTTAGGTGTGGTGGGAAATATCATGACTGGCAAGGCAGAGGCGAATTTCCATTGATTTATACATCTCTGTAAAATAATCTCTAGCTGCAGCTAGGGGTCAGAAGGCTAAGTTGTATCCCAAGTCTCTGAGGTAAGTGTTGTAATGCACTGACAGGGAACCAGAAGTCCCGAGTCTACATCCTCTGGAGTGAAGTCATTTGACACCTCTTCCAAGCCCATGAGAGACTGCCCCTGGCAAGACGTATGTATTACTACAGTCTATGAGCACAGACTCTAACAACATGCTGCTCTGAATTCATGAAATGATATAATACAGTCACCCACCTCTCTACATTGTGTCAAAGAGTGTCTGCTTAAAAGTATATAAATCTTATTTCAAAAGCATTAGTGTTCTGGGTAATTGAAATACACTAAAATTCTAATTTTCTTAGTACGATTTTGAAGAAACAATTCAAATATAGCATTAAACCCATCCAAACGCATAAAATTTTCCAAGTCACCAGAAAAAATGGTATTGCTCCTTCCTTACACAGCAAGTGCACTCTACACCTCTTTGAAGGGCATTTGTGGTTACAAGCTGCCTGTGGGTCCATAAAAAGAAACATTAGAATGCTTCACGATGAAGACTGCCGGGGTTCCTCCATTCACCAGGATGGAGAGATATTAGAATTGCTCCTGAAGCTTTTCAAAGCACAGGCACCCCAGATGTGCAAACCAGCCCCTCGTTACCTGTGTGCATTTGCACCCTTCTTCCCAAAGCACCAGCACACTGACTAATAGGAATGTGGCAAACCCCTCAGGTGTTAGGACAGGGGAAAATGAGAATATATATAAAAAATCTTGTCAAATACAATTTTGTTCAGGCTCAAGTATACCCATTTTCATATTCCTTTTTATGGGGTGGCTTTCTTTTGTTATCTTTGTTCTGTCTCCACCCTAGTTCCTTCTGTCTCTGCTAGATGGCATTTAGTCCTGGGTCTGTGGACCACTGGCACCTCAACTCCCTGGTCTTTGTTAATCTGACCTAAGACGGGGCCATTCCTTGGGGTCTGGCCTTTCCCCGAGTCATCGGCGCTCTGCAT